GAGGTCATAATACAAATATATCAAATACGATCACTGGACTCTTTATTAGATATGACTTTCTAGTACTGAGTTGGACCTCTTTTTGCCGTCAGAACTGCTTTAAGTCATCATGGCACAGATTCAACATGTTGTTTGAAACTTTCCTCTGAGGTTTGGTACAAAGTACATATTAACATGTTAACATCATGCTGGTGCTGCAGATTAGTCAAATGCACATCCATGATGTGAGTCTCCCATCCCACCACATCCCAAAGGTGACTGGGGTGGCTGTGGCTGAGTGGTTAAAGCAGTCGTCCTCCAATGCAAGAGTTGGAGGTTCGATTCCACCAGCAGTCACATGCCATATGTCCTTGGGCAAGACGCTGAACCCCTCATTTCCTTCGATGTGTGTCCCATCGGTGTATGAATGTGATAAAGCACTGGTTATTTCTTTGTACAGAAATAGTAGAATGCTGTATGAATGGGTAAATGAGGACACAGATTGTGTTGTAAAGAGCTTTGAGTATCTTGATAAGATAGTAAGGTGCTATATAAGTACAGTCCATTTACCATTGATTGGATTAAGCTATTCTGACTGTGGAGGCCACTTGAGTTTAGTAAACTGAGACTCATCAAAACAGGACCCCCCCCCCCCCAAAAAAATAAATAAAATAAAAATAAATAAATAAATAAATAAATAAATAAATAAATAAAATCCTATTGTCCAATATTGGTGAGTACATGTGGTTTCAGTTTCCAGTTCTTAGCTGACAGTATGGTTGTATCAAGGTTGGATGTGTTGGCTGGTCGACCTTTGGTTCAAGTTTGGGCCCCAAACCAGCTTTTATTGCAAATCTTTCCATCAGTTGACATTTGATCCTATTACTTAATTTATGACAGAATACAACCATCAGAGAGGGAACAATCAGTGTCAATATCCATCAGTGCAGAAAATGAAGGATCTTGGTGGGGACACAGTGGATTTGCGTGGTGCATTGATGCAACCGCTCCTCCAAGCCTCTGATTTGATTTATAGCCCACATCTGGCCAAGGTCCAGTCAGACCTAATAGAATCACGAAAGGTCGTCTGGGGAGTTGTCGGGGTACCCCGGCATTTGCAGCATGCAGAAAAGGACAATGAATGCACTTGAATGTGACAAGCCAAGGGAGGGTATAAATAACCCCATAATGGAAAAAAACTAATAAATTATAATAAAACAATGAATAGGTCAGACAATGGTGTTGGCAGCCAGAGTTAGAAGGAGAGAATATGAAAAAAGAAAAGCAACAAAAAGACAAATAGAGGGAAAACAGAAAATGAGGAGGAGACAGGAAGGAAGGCAACTCTGAGGCTATTGTTCTGTTTTGTTTGACCATAAGCAAAAATATGTATGTTTTAAACTTCACCCTCATGCAGGTGTGTTGTTTGACGCATATTTTTTAAAATCCTGATTTTATTTGCGTTGATTTAAGCAATAAAATCCTAACTGGGCCTTCCTGAAAGCAGAGAAGAAACCCTAACAGGACTCCAGTCAGCCATCAGGTGAAAAGGAGGAACCCAGACCCAGACCAGTGGTCATTCCGTATGTTGAGGGAGTATCAGAGAAACTGAGACGTTTATTTTCTAAACATAACGTCCCAGTGGCTTTTAAACCCCAAAATACATTACGGCAAAGACTGGTTCATCCCAAAGATCCAGTCCCCCGGCACAAACAGAGTAATATTGTGTATGCTGTTAAGTGTCAGGAGGGCTGTGATCAGTCACATCGGGGAAACTAAACAGCCACTGGCCAAAAGGATGGCCCAGCACAGAAGATCAACATCATCAGGCCAGGATTCTGCGGTCTACACTCATCTCCAGGCCAGCGGTCACTCTTTCAAGGATGAAGATGTTCACATCCTGGACAGAGAGGAACGATGGTTTGAGAGAGGAGTAAAGGAGGCCATCTTTGTGAAAAGAAATCGTCCATCATTAAACAGCGGTGGAGGCCTCCGGGTTCAACTGTCCCCCTCTTACAATGCTGTGATTGCTAGTATCACTCAGCCCTCTGTGAATAGTAAACAGCCATCAGTGTGCTAATGATCCATTGTTAGGCTGATGGTCCTTCTTGAGCATGTGATCAGCTGGTTTTGGTTGTCAGCAGCAAACTGGTTGATCCACTCTGAGAAGGTGCTATTTAAGAGACTGAGCTGAAAACAGCACCTCAGACTGAGGAAGTCTCTTGGATGAGAGACGAAATGTTTCTAAATTTTTTTTTTTTTTTTTTTTTGAATGTCCAGAGGACCAGATTGAACTATTTTGGAATAAAATGTAACATTTCCATATGAACGAAATGCTAAAATAATGCTCATTTGTACCCAAATCTTTCAGTCCAGTTGAGATGAGGGACAGTAGAGACCCTGGCAAATCAGCTGAAACTTTATCACGGACTTTTTTAAGGAAAATGTGATCTTGAATATAAATTTTCTCATGCGAGTGCAAATTAAATTAGTGTTTTACAAAAATTAGCTTTTCTTTTTAAACAGATGGATTTAAAACAGGAGAAAAAGGTTTTATTTTATTTTATTGCTGGTGTTTATTGCTTAACATAACTAGGAAGTGAGATGTTCTGGCTTGGCTTTAACCAGCATCTTAAAGTTTATACAGCCACATTAAAGATGTGAAGATGAACTTGAACTTGATTTGATACATAGACCAGTGTGTCGAAGTGAAAATGATTGCATATGAGGAATAAATATTCTTTATAACCCTGTTACATGGTGCCATCTCTGAAATACTGTTCTCAGTATAGATGGGTAGGTTGATTTATTTGCTTTGTCATATTGTTTTGCATCTTTTAACATTGTCAACAGTTGAACAGCAGCTAAGAAAAAGAAAGTCCTATAACTGAAGTGTTGTGTTTTCAGTTCAATCGGCTAGATCAATGAACACTCAAAGACAGAAAAAGAAAAACAGCTGAAGACTTGCAGCGTACCACACAAAGACGTAAAAAGTTATGACAATTGATTAAAAGTGTTTGATAGCCCAACAGATTTATTTAAAGTTCAGTGTATAGAGGAGGACGGTGCATGTCAGCTGATTCTGCTGCATGTCACCCCCTTCTCTCTAATGTTAAAAAAACAACTTTATACAAAGGCTGACAGTGCAAGGAAAAAAAGCTTAAAAAAATAATACTAACCAACCAGCCTTTACAGAAAAAGTGCATTATTTCACATGTAAAAGTCACATGTAATATGAGAAATGCATGTTTTGTACAACCCAAATTCCAAAGAATGGGATGTTGTGTAAAATGTAAATAAGAGAAGCAACGATGAGGAAAACTTATGCATTTTATTCATAATGAAACACAGTAAACATAATAAATGTTGAATCTAAAAAGCCATATTATTTTTATTCTGAAAAGGAAAATATAATTTTGAACTTAAGGAAATCTGAGAAAAGCTAACTTCATTAACAACAATCTTCAAACATTTAGGAACCAAGAAATCCAGTGATGTTGTTCCATTCTTATCTGATTTAGGATGTCTGCTGTTCAACAGTCTTGGGGCCTGATTTGCTGGATTTTTCACTTCATGTCAAATATTTTCCATTGATGAAAGGTATTGACTGCAGCCAGGCCAGTTCAGCACCAGTACTCATTTACTAGTCTGAGTTTTAGCTTTGTCTTTTTTTTTGTTCAAGGCCCCAAAACATTGCTTAAATGGAAGCATGTGTTGTTCTAAGGCACACACACACACACGCACGCACGCACACACACACACACACACACACACACACACACACACACACACA